CGCGATTCCCTAAATCGAGACCAACGCCTAGTGTACGATGAGGTGATGGACCACTTTCTGAATCAGGAACCTTCTCATTTGCTGCTTCATGTAGATGGTGGAGGTGGTACTGGCAAGTCATACCTCATTAACCTGTTCTCTGCGCACCTCCAAGCCGCTGCAGTCAGGAGGGGGACATCGGTTTGGCGTGCCGCGCCCACGGGCGTCGCAGGAAACCAGATATCGGGCACTACATTGTATTCCCTGTTACACCTCCCAATCAATAAGGAACTTCAAACCCCTCTCAGCCGTTAATAAGGCTCAGTTTCAGAAGAAGCTGAGGGACATCAAGTATCTGATCATCGATGCGAAGAGCATGCTGGGACTGCGACAGCTCTCTTGGATCGATGATCGTCTGCGCGAGGCGTTCCCGCATAGAAACGAGGAGTTCTTTGGTGGTCTCAACATCCTTTTTGTTGGCGACTTCTTGCAACTTTTCCCCGTGTTGCAGAAGCCGCTTTACTACGACAAGGAGGTACAAGGAGTGGAGATCAAAGGCAGGAACGCGTATAGACACTTCGATAAATCGGTCTTCTTGAAGGTTGTGCAGCGGCAACGGGGCGACGAACAGAAGGCGTTTCGCACAGCCCTCGGGGAATTACGGTTGCTCCAACTATTGGTCGAGTCCTGGAAGCTCCTTTCCGGTCGGGTACAGGCAAAGCTAGATGTCAAGAGGTCGCCGGGTTCGCCAACGCCTTGCGAGTATACGCCACTAAGGTAGAGTGGACTAATATAACCACTATCACCTCGATCGCCGCAGCAGGCCAGTCATCCAGGTCAAGGCTAAGAATGTCGGTCATGGGGCCGCATTACGGTTCATAAGTCACAAAGCATCACTGAAGATGTAATCGTTACGGATCTCTCCTGTCGGGACTTTCAGACTGGCCTCAGCTACGTAGCTGCCTCTCGTGTGAAGACGCTCGAGGGCCTGATGCTTGATGCGCCATTCGATCGTAGTCACCTATTATATGAGTCTCCTCCAGATAGTATGAAGATGAAGATGAGGGACCAAGAGCTAAGGAAACGACAGGTTCTTAAGCGGAACTCCTATAAGATAGACCACGGGTCTGCATAATTCTGTGTGATTCTGCTCGTGACAAGTATAAGAATTGTCTCCTCAAAAAAGAGCCCCAGTAGTCATGCATTTAATATAATGGCTACGGGAAGTTGCTTGGCCCGCGGACTCTCAGCCTTCGGGTGATTCTACCCCTTGCATCACCGCGCTAAAATGCAAGGGGTGACGTAGTATTTTACTAATACCATGCTGTTGCCGCCTGATGTACCTACATACGTACGTCGTGTAGCGGCGTTATGCGTCGATTTGGGAATGGCAAAATGGCAAATGAAATGACTTGAGGATTGACAATTCCAACATGCACTTCAGCAGGCGGGTGCTCGGCTTGGTAAGCATTTCATTCGGAGCGGAAGAATCGGACGAATCTGCGAACGGCGAGGTTGAGGTTCCCGAACATTCGGTCTCCCACTCCCAGATCGTCACTCGGTGGCGGCGGCGTTTTCTCGAGTACCGGGGCCCCAGCTCATCCTGGTCTCCACTTCACGCTTTTCCCATTTGTCAGCATAGCTACGGGACAGCCGGATAGATTCTCAAGTATTGCAACTGACGAACGGTCTCAAATAAAATATAATTCCCCCATGGCCTCAACACAACACGTAGATTTCATATTCTACGAGGCTTTGATCCGGATAGCTCAGTACTTTTACTTCTACGAGAATATCCAATCTCATAGCCTATAGTGTGCTTCATCTGTCGCAACGATGTCTTCATCACAGAAAATTCTGCTCGTCCTCGGGGCCGGGAAAAATATTGGCCAAAGTGTGGCGAAAAAGTTCAAGGATGCAGGTTACAAAGTAGCCCTGGTATCTCGCTCAGCGCATGATAAGTACGCACCCGAGACGGGTTATTTGGAATTGCGTGGCGACCTCGCCAATTCTGCTTCCATCCCTGGGATATTTGAGGATATCAAAGCCGCATTCGGCGGCTCGCCCAACGTCGTCGTTTACAACGCCGCAGCCTTAACCCCGCCTGACGACCCTTCCAACTTTTTCTCTATTCCCACCAGGTCCTTCGAGTCCGATCTCACGGTAATGAATACGAGCGCATTCGTCGCGGCCCGCGAAGCTATAGCTGGCTTTGAAACACTTGGATCAGACACGCGCAAGTCATTCATTTACACTGGCACTCGTCTCGCGGCAGTCACCTCGCCTTGGCCCCTTTTTGCCACCCTCGGCACGGGCAAAAGCGCAGCTAGCTATTGGATAGGCTCAGCGTCGGAATTCTTCAATAAAAAGGAGTATAAGTGAGTGAACAAGCAAGTCCCGTCCCTGTATGGCGATATGAAGGCTAATTTCGTTTCGTGGAGCAGATTTTACTACGCGGATGAGCGTACTAGCGACGGTCACGGTGTCAGCCTAGAGGCGCTCTCTGGTGAAGAAGCAGCTAAATTCTATCTCGATTTGGCCGAGGGCAAGCAGAATCCGCCATGGTATGCAACATTTGTTCGCGGAAAGGGATACGTTTACTTCCCCGAGTCCAGTCGCATTTAGCTGAGAGCCGTTAGGCTCACAGCTACCCGTAAAAGCGACTTATGTTGTTATTGGAACTACCGCATCTGTCCCTCAGCATAGCAGTGTTCTGCTTGGCTTCAGTCCCCACTGTGATATAGTTTTTCACTTTGTCTGATATCTTTCTTTGTAATAGGCGTAGAGAAACTTTAGTTGTCAATCGACTTATATATTATACTTTGGCGCTTCTGATTCTGAGAGAATGTCGGTGGGTGGTGTATTCTGTTGTGCTCGCAACTACTCTTTCCATGCCATTGGTTGAAGTAGGGCCATAAGTAAGTATGGAAAATAGCCTTGTCGTCGACTGACAACTGAGAGTGAGCGAATTCGAACAAGCCAATAAACAAGGCTCGGAACCACTACATC